CTGTAGGTTCTCTTTTGACTTTTTTGGAGAAGTCTTTGGAAGCACATAAAAATTTAATTTTTAGAAGGTCCCAATCATCTGGTTTCTCTTCTGCTGTTTATGCATTTTGAATTATGCTTGGTAGTCTATTTATGCCATGTATTAGGAATTATGAGTTTTTAAATTTCCTTTTGTTTATCCTTTTTCTATAATAAATGTATGACTCATATAATTATAAAAACAAATAATAAACTAGGAAAATGAGATGAAATTGCCACTGTTTTACTGACTAACAGTTCCTAGAAAAGCTTTTCACAAGAGCATCTTGAAATATGTGACTATGATTAGAGTTCACTTTTGATGACAAAATTAAAGCATGGATAGGAAATCCTAAGTCAAGGGTAGTAGAAGCGAATTACACCTGCTGCATGTCTGCCTGGTTATTGTGAATCTTCAGTTGTATAAATGATGCTTTTCAATAGGATTCTTAATTCCAGAACATTTCATCTTGCAATCAGGTCAGGGTCAAATCCCACTAAGTTTATTTATAGTTACACAGTTTACCCCAAGACATGATACAGAGAAAAATAAGGCCAAAACAGAGAAGATACGCATCATAGAGCATGAGTGACCTTTTCAGACTCTAACCAGTTAGGCTTATCTTCTTTACACAAAAGTTTCATTGTAATTGGTGTCATTAAGGTCTACTTTTAGCATGAAGTTGGGAAATCCTTCTAGGTTGTAGACAGTATTGAGAGACCACAGGTTATTGTGGAAAGAACAGGACTGGGAGCCAAGAACCTGGGTTCCATTCCCTATTCTGCCACTTGCAAGCTGTGTGACCATGAACAGGTAACTTACTTCCACTGAATCTCTGTTCCCTGATCTGTAAACTAAGATTCTGTAGAACCAGCAATCTTTTGAGATGCCTTCCTGATTTGGAATATATGCAAACTCTAGTCCTGTCAGCACAATCCCATCTTTAACTCAATATAATGAAAAAGAACTAAATCTTCAAGTTGTAAAAATAGCCAGATGAAAATGTAGTTAATTTTCAATATAGCAGTCCTACAGAAGTCAGTACTGTGAACATAAATGACTTTGATTGAATGTCCATCATCTATGCTAATAAATTCAAAATAGTAGAGTTGGGTGTTAGTCCAGGTCTCAAGATCTCTAAGTTCACCTGCACTTACCTGAGAGGATTCACAGTTATAAAAAACACAGTGGTGTGATAATATCTACATAGTTAAATAAACAAATTTATTATGTCCAGAGAAAATGAGTTTAAGTGAAAAAAAAAAAAGGAAAAAAAATCTCCTGAGTTGGCTTTATACGTGGGTAAATAATTTTCTTGAAAAAATGTAAATATTGCTTCTCTTAGTGTTAGAATTCTATAATTTTGTAGCTCTTTGCAAGCTCAAGGGTATATAGGATAATTCAAGGCACATAGTTTCCAAGACTCTCTCTATTGCTAAAAATTTTGATTCTGTGAAATTGTCAGTATTTGGGGTCACTGTTTTTAACTATGTTGTTGTTGTTATGTGTCGTCGAGTTGGACCCGACTCATAGCGACACTTTCTTGTGTTTCTGAGGTGGTATCACTATGGAAGTAGATTGCCCAACCTTGCTTCCAAGGAGTGGCTGGTGGGTTTCAACAGCCAGCCTTCTGGTTAGCAGTCAAGTGTCTTAAGCACTACACTACCAGAGCTTTGAGTGGCTATGGTAAAATCTGAAAACTTGATTATTAAGGAAATTAGTGTTAAATACTATTTTTAACAAGCAAGTATTTCAGAATATTAACAGTAGGATATCTTAACATAATTTATTCACTTTCAACCTCTTTTCTTTCTACATTAAAAATTAATTTAGCTAACTATTTTTGTAAACCATTTCAATCCTTTTTTTAAAAATAGATTTCAGAGAGGTAAAGGATATATATAAATAAATATATACCTAATATTTTGGGGATACAATGAGTCTCACCTGTTTTTCTCATGAATTTTTAGGATTTCATTTGTCTGTTGAAGAAGCTGCTTCTCTAGCTTGTAAGTTGATAATGAATTCTCCAGCAGTTGTATTTCAAGTCGAGAAGTTTGATTTAGTACCTTAAGATAAAATATATATATTTCAAACATACATAATCACAAATCAAAGATAGAAAATTATTTTGGGTTTTATATTTAGTTGTGTATGGTTCTTTTCTTTTTAATGGTATTTCTTGCAGGACAATTGATCAAAAGGTGTCCTTTCTATTATATAACACTTTACATGTCTCTCAAACATTATGTTGGTTTGAGATTGAGGCTGAAAGTGAATGAGGAAACTGCATCATTGAATCCAATTATATGACTATATAATTGGATTATATAAGTCACAATGATTTTCATGTCCTGAAACCCTAGGATATCTCGATGTGTTAGATGCTTTGACATATTACCTTCACTACTTACAAGAGTGTAATTATTAGCACAAGATCTTAGATATTTTGTATAATCAAGTATGACTAACAGGAATGTGAAATACACCTGCCTCAATTAATCACTCTACAACAATCAATTAGAAATGTGCAAACAACTCTTCACATAGGTTACACATGTCCCTGATCACATTCTTATTGAGCCTCCATCATGTGAGGCCATGTCAGCCCTTCTGTATGCCATAGCATTTAATGTTTGTTCACAGCCACCTGTGGAGGAGGAATTGTTATCACTTTATACATGGGGATCTCTGAGGTTGAGTGAGAGCCCCAAATGCACAAAGGGACCATGGGAAGAGGTGGGTTTCAAACACAGATACCTTGACACTGAGTTTAACGCCTGACACCAAAAGGGAAAGTTGAACCATTCTGGGTTTTAATCTAAGGAGATGAAGTGACCAGCAGCCGAGATTATGCTTAAAACAGATTATCATTGTCATTTCAACACCACTAAAATGGATCCTAAGAAAGCTGTACATTTTCAACTCACAACCCATCTTGAATCACAAAGATCCATGTTACTAGGTGAGTGCCCTTATAGCATAAGTCTGTGAATGGTGCTGGCAAAACTTTCCATTCTCCAAGCAGAGATCACACACTCCAGTCCTAGCAGGTGCCTTCAGACTGTTTCAGTGTTCTTGTTCCTTTCTCTATCTTGTCCTTTTCTGCCTTAAGGGAGGCAGAGGGACAAGGAAGTAGGTATACTTGGAATAAAAGTCTCCATACATTATGTGAAAACTTTTACAACACAATTGCCACACTAGTTTTTTTTTTAGAAACACTTATTGAAATAGACCTAGAAAACCTTCTATAGAATGAGTTAGTACAAGATTGTATTAGTACAAAGTGTTCTCTTCTAAAAATGCCACAATTAGAGCTTACTCTCTTTTCTGTAGCAGGTGTAAACCTAGGGCTATATCAGATGCACCCAGAAGTCTTTCTAAGATATACTGATATGTCCAAGGCTGGATGTGGGCTCACAGACGTGAGAGAGGGGAAAGTATTTGTAGGGAGGTGAGACCTAGACTAGGCTGAGGCAAGAGAGGTATTCAATTTAGGTGCAAAATTTAAGAGGATGCCCATCAAAGAAACCCTCAGAAAACCAAATAAGTAATATTATAATACAACATTTTAAAAACTAAAATTAATACAAAAATTCCATGATGAACAGAATATCAAAATTAAAAAAAAAAAAAAAAAGACAGGATCTGATACTGCACTTGTACCATTTGGTTCCACACCCACCCACACCCTCACTCTAGTTCCAGCTGTGCAGGAGTGGGGTCAAGCAGTGGCAAGATGGAGATTTCATACTTGAAAGATGTGAAACTGTTACTCATTTGTAGAGTTGGTATAAAAATGGATCTGAAAGCCGTTTAAAGCCCTACAACCTTAGGGAGAGAAGGGAATTACAACAGAGAGACAGCAGGCATAGAGAGCTTGTAGAGAATAGAATCCAGACTCTAATCTCAGACTGCCTGGGTTCAAACGTTAGCTCTACCATTTACTGGTTCTTTGATCTTGAGCAAGTTGTTTCACCTCACTATAGTTTAATTCCCTCATCGTTAAACAGGGGATAATGATAAATATCCACATAGATTTTTATTATTATTAATAATTGATATGTATAAAATTATTTGCAACAGAGTGAGCAACCATTATTAAAGGCAGATATTAACATAGTTTCTTTTTCTGTTAGTTCACACATAATTATTATTGACCTTAGGAGAAAGTCAAAAATAAAATTATATCACAGGAAGGGATGTGAATAATCCCTGAAGCCAACGCTTTCATATTGCACACTTGAAAAGAGGACCATGAAGGAGAAATATGGGAACAAACTGATAACAGAGAAAGACAAACACCACAAGCCCCACTACAGGGGAAGAAAAGAGCATGGTGTTGGCTCCTGATTCTCACCACCATGGCCAACAGGGGTGTACAGATATGCTTACTATCTTTCTCTTTTTGGATCATGAAACATATTGAGGAAAATAGTATTTTAAAATACTGTTGCAGTTCAACTTTGGTTCTACCACCTCTTATTATGTTGCAAGTTTAGGGCAGCAGAGGACTAGAAAGCAGTAACTTATGGAATTACCATGTGAAAGGCAAACCAACAAAGAAAAACCCACTGCCATTGAGTGCATTCCAACTCACAGCGGCCTCCTTTGGGTTTCTGAGGCAGTAAATTTTTACAGAAGTAGATTGCCCAGTCTTCCTTCCACAGAGTAGCTGATAGGTTTGAACTGCCAACCTTCTGCTTAGGCATAAAATGCCTTAAGCACTATGCCAGCAGAGCTCCTTATGAGAAAAGTAGGGCACTAAAATGTACTGCAGGTCATTGACATGATTTCCTGAAATTACTGAGGGCCTGAAATCAATTTTAAGAAAAGCAGCACTTACCCAAATAAACAACAGTAGAGTGAATAGAGAAGCAAAACCACAGCAGCATACCTGAATAGTACAAAGGAACCTGTCGTTATATGGATGCTTACTATAAACATGAGAGAACACTGAGGTTAAGGAGTAATTCAGGATTCATTTTATAAACTTGACCTTGCATCAGGACTTGAGTGCCCTTGAGTGGCTATGTGTAAGCTGAATAGTCCTATTGCAATAGTTCAATCAAGAATCACATGGGCAAACATCCACAAGAGAAACATTTGATCACAGTTGCACATACCATTGACAAAGGGAAGAAATTACAATGAAGATGAAAAGAACACACAGGCTTCAATTCTGAACATAGGACATAGTTGGTCTGAACCACAGTCTACCGTCTCTAATTCTCTCTCATTGGTAGTTCTGGTGGATTTGTGATTTTTGAGATATTTTCCAGGTTTTCATTATCTTAAAATAATTATTGCTGTATTATTTTCTGTAATATTTTCCATAAAGTACACATCTCTATAGCTACAGAAACAGTTGTTATATCCTAAGATCTTCTAAAGCATGCATTTTGACTGCTTGGAGAATAACATGCTAACGATGGGAAATTTTTTTTTCGCATCTTCAATTCCTAGGAGAAAAGAGAATAAATCAATCCATGATAAAGTGTTTGGGAGAATGGAAAAAATAAAGTAAGCCTTGCCATGTATGTCATAAAACTTGTTATGGCAGAATTCCTACAAATTTCATATATGTGACACAGAAGATTGTACTGATTGTGCAAATTATCATCCTCCATTTTGAATATATGAGAAGGTTTTGAAAGAGATGGCAGGTATTCTGTTCTAATCAAAGACAACATACACTCACATTATTTATACCACAAGAAGTCAATTGGCAGCACATCATCAAGCTTGCTTACTGTGATGACAAATGATGAAACAAGGTCTGTGATTTTTAGTTAAAATCCAGAGCTCTCCCCTTCTCATCCCTCATGGTTTCCTGATAATGTTAGGTAAAACATAGTTCTCAAAGTCTATGCAGTTTACTGGTCCAGAGTAATCAATATTTAAGTTCTTAATCACTTAGTTAATTATTACTATGATTAATAATGAGGAATAACAATGGTAAGAAATGAGGAAGACCAGTGTGAGTACTGGATTCTACTCACTAGCTCTATCAGCGGAAATAAAAATTGCTCAGATTCTCTGAGCTTCCATCTACTACAAAGAATTTTAATAAAATTGAATTTTATACATGAACATAGTTGTATAACAAAAAATGTGCCATATCCATTTAAATGATCATTGTTATTTCTCTTCAAATACTGACATATGATCTGCAATGCCAGTAACACAAACACAGTAAAAAAGAAATAAGGTTTTTGCTTACTTTTGAATCATGTATTTAAGCTTTGGTTCTAGAAATCTGGTATATTGATTTCCAAGTTCAAGAATAGTCACTGGAATAACCATTGTCATGCTAAAAGAGGATGAAGAGATCATCTTCTATTCATAAAATTTAGTGCAAAAGAGTATGTGCTCTCGATGATAACTGTGGGTTTGTGACAGTAATGATTAAAGGGAATCCCTAGTTTTTTACAGATTTGTACTTAAATAAGAAAGTCATTGACCGTGGTAGGGAAATATATTTATACATAAATTGCTGTTGAGTGGGCCCTTAACTTGTAGTGACACCATACACAACAGATAAACACAGCCCGGTCATACGCCATGCCTATGAATGGCTGCGGATCAAACCATTGTGATCAACTGGGTTTTCACTGGCACTGGTAGCGTAGTGCCTAAGGCACTTGACTGCT